AGCGCTGGCACGGCGCCCCCTCGGCTCTGTGCCGTTTCCCTGGCTCTTCGGACACCCGGCATGGGTACTGAGCATCGTTTATCCGACCCCTCGTTTTACCCCCGCCGAACTTCCGCCGCCTTCCGCGGCGGAAGAGATGGAAACGCCCCATGTATGCGTGTGTGCCGTTTTCTTGTCGTTTGAAGTAGACATCCATGGCACGCCGCACATGAGCATCGTTTAACCGATCCCCATCTCCAGCGGCGTGGCCTAGGCCCCCCTGGCCGATTTACCCCCCTAGATGGGAATACTGGCCGTGCCCGTCGGGTTTCGAGGGGTGTGTCCCTGGGGTGGCAATCTGGTGGGGGTCTCGAAGGGGACGAGGATGGAAGGGGGTCGGTTAAGTTAAGTTAAACGATACTGCAGTACGGACAGACAACGGGCAGGATGCCCAGCGACAAGTGCTGTCCAGCGCAGACCGCGGCTGCTCATGGGCAGGCGGCCTTCTGTCTCAAACGGACAACGCCCGCGGCGCCACGGACAACGAGTCCTGGTCAAAACTGTCAAGATCGGGGAGCCGTAAGACTCGGGTACGGGGGACTCGGGTTGGTCTGACAGGGCCATTATAAAAATGGCGAGACACAATCTGAAATTTGACGCGAGCTCCCACTGCAAGCATCCCACGAAAACAGGACCGTAACAGTCCATGACGCGCTCGTCAAAAAAACGTCGGCTAACCCGAGCTTCGGCTTGCTCGAATCTTACGTTTCCCTGACAGGAGCTGCAGCCCCATTGTCCGTCGGATGGGAGAGGAGGAGAAGGAGGAGGAGGAGGAGGAGGAGGAGGGTGGGGTGGGTGGAAGACGGGAGAGAAGCAGGGCGGAGAGGGGAGGACGGAGGACGAGGACGAGGAAGCAGGGGGGGGCCCACGGCTGATTCCTCTCCCCCTCTCCCACTCCCCCTGAGTCCGACGGCTGCGCTGCTGTGCCCCCACCCCCCTCGTCCCCTCTCGCCCCTGCCTCGCCCCCCCCCCTCCCCCCTTGGTGTCCCCCCTGGGTCCGACGTTGCGCTGCTGTGCCCATCTCGCTCGTGCCGAGCCCTCTGCCGCAGGGGGCACGGGAGGCCAGGGGCACGGGGGACAGGGGTCGCAAGGGGGGCCCCTCGGAGCCGCGCGCCTGGCCCCGCGCAACTGGCCGACCCCCCCGGCGAGGTCTCTCTCTCTCTCTCTCTCTCCCTCTCTCTCTCTCTCTCTATCGCGCGCCACGGCGAGGAGGCAAGGCGCAGGGCAAGAGACACATTTCGGTGGCAGCTCACGGGAGCCTCCCATGCAGTGGAGGCCAGTCCACAAGAAACCTTCCACAAGAAACCCAACCCTGATTCCCCAGGACGTCCATTGATTTCTGGTGTGGGAAAGTCGCGCTTTCCATTGGAAAACCATCGGAAACCAAGAAGTCCATGGCACCGTGGAGGCAAGCAGGGCGTTTCTTGGCATAGGTCTCCACTGTACCATCTCGCTGGCTCTTGCGAATCGACTCCGACAGACGCTAGCCGACGCTAGCCGACGCTAAGAAATGCCAAACTGACGCTGATCGACTCTACATCGGCGCGTTCTCATCGACTACCAGGCGCTATCGTACGCGCATGCGCTCAAAGACGGAGTTTCGAGAACATGCAAGGCTTCCATGATCTGCTACCGAGAAGCACGAGCTGCAGCAGGGAGCCCGGCACCCTCTTCGCCGCAGTCTGATTCTACTGTGCCTCTGGAGCTGCGCTGACCCTGCATCCGCGCGTGCGCCGCACTGCAAGGCATCGCGTGCACGTGGTAAGCTAGAGAGAAGTAACAACCATGCCGAGCGAAGCAACGCAGCATTGGCCGGACATCATTCTGTCTGCCTCCGCCCACTCGCCCCAACGGGGAACCTCAACTCGAGCTTCAGAGGAGTCACCGCGGCGTCCTGCGCAAACTGCAGCCTCGCCGATACGGTGTGCTCTGTGTGCTCCTGCCATGGAAGGAAGCGAGAGCTTGGGGATCCTGCCGAGAGATGGTTCGGGAGAGCGGGGGGGTGCGAGGCGAGAGATCAGGTGAACGTGATGGCCACAGAACATAGATAAACAACGAGGGAGGAGGAACGGAGACGAGGGGGAATTGCAAGCGACTGACGATACTAAACAAGATCCCGGTCGCGCAACCGATCGCGTATCTCCCGTGTGCCCCTCACTTGTGCGGCGGCAACGTGGTACCTGTGGCTGGGTCGAACTGCCACGGCTGCGGTTCCGACTCATCCTCGATCACGGTGATTCCGTCCAACGCGGCCTTCGCACGTGAGACTACCTGATCGTAGCGGCCTAGCTCCGGGGACACCACGACCATGTCCGTCTTGTCGTACGGGGAGCCATCGGGTTTAAGGCCCAGAGGCATTATAACGACGCTTGGGACGTCCACAACCTCAGAGTCGTAGGCGGCGAGAGGCACGTCGTCGACGTCGCACTTGTAGAACTTCGCCTTGGGATACGACGCAGCCATAGCCTCAAATTGTTCGGAGTACATCTTGGAGGCCAGGCTGAAATGGCCAGTGTAGAAGCCCACCATCATTGGCACCTTGGACGTCTTCATGGCCTCATAGGTGGCGTAGTCCTTGATTGAGGGCGCTGAAAGAAGGCGGCGGCCGAGACGGAGGGCCATGGCAACTGCGTGGCAGCCCAGTCTATGCTGCGACAGCAACGCGACGCCCTGAGCCAATGTACCACAATACATACAGCGGCGACCGATCACGACGATGATGCTGATACCGATACCGATGCTGATGCTGACGCCGATAAGGATGATGGCGATGATGATGTTAATGCTAATGCTGATGATGATGATGATGATGATGCTGACGATGTCGACGACGATGTTGATGATGCTGCTGATGACGATGATGATGATGCTTATGGTGATGATGATTGTGCTGGTGGTGCTGATGATGATTATGATGATGATGATTATTGTGCTGGTGATGATTGTGCTGATGGTGATGGTGATGATTACTGATGGTTGATTATGGTGATGATGCTGATGGTGATGATTACTGATGGTGATGGTGCTGATGGTGATGGTGATGGTGATGATTGTGCTTATGGTGATGGTGATTGTGCTGCTGATGATTGTGCTGATGATGATTACTGATGGTGACGATGATTGTGCTGGTGATGATAATGATGATGATTGTGCTGATGGTGATGATGATCTGCTGTGCTGCTGCTGCTGATGACGACGATACTGATGATGCTGATGATGATCATGAGGATGCTGATAATGTTGATGATGTGTCGTATGCCTATGTTTGTGAGGATGACGAGGGTGATGATGATACTGATGAGGATGATGATGATGAAGATGATACTGATGATGAGCTGCTGCTGATGATGACGATGACGATGATGACGACGACAGTACTGATGATGTTGATGATGCTTCTGAGAAGGTTGATGCTGATGCAGATGATGGTGTCGACGATGCTACTGATACTGTTGGTGATGAGGATGATGGTGATGATGACGATGATAATGAGGATGCTGATGCTGATGCGGATGATGATGATGATGGTGGTGATGATGATGATGGTGAGGATGATGATGATGCTGATGCTGATGTCTGTGATGATGATGGTGAGGATGATAGGCGATGGGGACAATGACGACGATGATGATGGTGACGATGCTGATTATTATAACGATCACGGCTAAAGATGATGATGTTGATGAGGCTGCCGAGGCTAATAACTGCGACGATGATGATGACGCTGTTGGTGATGATGGCGATGCTGATGTGTATGATGATGACGCTCTTGATGATGCCGATGCTGATGATGCCGATGATGATGAGTTTGATGACGATGATGATGATGCTGATGACTGTGCTGATGCTGATGCTGATGATGCCGATGCTGATGCTAATGCTGATGATGATGATGCGACTGATACTGTGAATGGTGTATGTATTGAATACGATGATGCTGATGCTGATGTTGATGGTGGTGATGATGATGCTGATGAGCCAGCACACGCTCCTCATCAATCGGAGCCTCGGCGGCTTTACTCGGACGTTGGCCAACGTACGAACTCGGTTTCGGTTTCGGGTCGGTCCGTGCGTGTGGGACCCACGCGCACGACAGTGAGCGTGTGCGAGGCGTGGGTGCGAGTGGGCGAAGCTTGGAGGCGTGTGGGGCCCACACGGTCCGACCGCGCGTGTGCCCTTCACCTGTCACCCACACTGCGGGTGAGGTGAAGAGCGTCCGCAACCAGGAGCAATACCGCCGAACATGCCTGCGCTTTACAGCAGCGGGCGGTGCCCCGGGCGGCTGTCCCGCGGTTGTCCCGTGCGGGCGTCTGGTAATGGTCCCGCGGCTGTCCCCGCGAGCGTCCTGAGACCTCTTAGAGACCCCCAAGAGGCTCCCCCAAGAGGCCCCACAACAGCACCCAAGAGGTTTTAGAACGGCCTCCTCCTCCTCCTCCTCTTCCTCCTCCACCTCTTCCTGTTCCTTTTCCTTTTCCGTTTCCTCCTCCTCCTCCTCCTCCTCCTCCTCCTCCTCCTCCTCCTCCTCCTCCTCCTCCTCCTCCTCCTCCTCCTCCCCCCCACGACATCCCAAACAACATCCGCTCGGGCCGCCGCGCGGCAGCCGTCGTTGCCTCGTCGCCGCCCAACGCCTTGGCCCGTGGGCCGCTTTGGCCGCCATGTGGCCGCCGTCGCCGCCCGTCGCCAGGGCCTGCGGGCCGCTTTGGCCGCCATGTGACCGCCGTCGTCGCCTCGTCGCCGCCCGCCACCTCGTCGCCGCCCGCTTCGCATTGCTTCGCATCGCTTTGCATTGGTTTGAATTACTTTGCGTCGCTTCGCATTGTAATCACATTGCGTTGACTGCCACTGCATCACATGGGGTGCACCACATACATCGCACTACGTAGCTTACACCACTTATTTTGCACCGCGCAATGTGCTTAACATATATTCTCTTTTTGCAATAGGATGTTCGGATCTACCCCCCCGCTTCGTAACCTCGCGGGGAACTGAATATTTTCAGGCGACCTTATTGACGGACTGGGACCCCGACAACAACGGACACTATGTTTTCCCGCCGCCGCCGACGACAACGCCGACGACGACGACGAGAAGAAAGAGGAGGAGGAAGGGGAGAAGGAGGAGGAGGAGGAGGGGAAAGAGGATGCTCGGAAACTCTCAAAGGATGAATGTTATGAAACTCATTGCTCTGAAACCCACTGTTCTGAATATCGTTCCTCTGGAAGTCATTGTTCTGGAACTCATGGATCTGAACCTCATTGTTCTGAAACTCATTGCTCGAGAACTTCCTTCAAGGCCGATTGCTCTGAAGCTGTCAAAGGCTCATTGAGTTTGAACTCATTGCTCTGGAACTCTCACTGATCGGAAACCCATTGTTCTGGAACTTATTGCTCTAAAACTCAATGCTCTGCAATTCATTGCTCTGAAGCTCATTGTGCTGGAGCTCATTGTTCTGAAACGCATTGCTCTGGAACTCATTGCTCGAGAACTTTCTCACAGGCTCATTGTTCTGAAACTCCCACTCTGAAAGCTCAAAGGGCTCACGGCACTCTCACGAAGCACATGCCAAGGAGCTCAGTTGCTCGTCCTCCTCATTATCCTCCTCCTCCTCCTCCTTCTCCTCCCCCGCCGATACTTCGATTTGCATTGCAAACGTTCCTACGAACGAGCTCGACATTCCTTTCGCGTGGAGGGTTGCCCAGGGGGAGGATGCAGAAGAGGCGGAGGAGGAGGAGGCGGAGGAGGAGGAGGGGGAGGAGGAGGAGGGGGAGGAGGAGGAGGAGGAGGAGGCGGAGAAGGCGGAGGAGGCGGAGGCGGGCCTTTTCAGAAGGCTCGGAAATCCACGGGCCTTCTAAAACAGTTGTCTGAGCCTTCCGCGCAGACACCGAAAATCTCACAGAAGGCCGGGGGCCTTCTGAGAAACCCCGCCGCCTTCTGAAAATGCCTTCTCCTTCTCATTTTCCCCCTAGCTCGCCGCCAAACCTCGTCGACGGGGTGGACGACCTTGGCGCCTGCGGGGCGCTTGCCCGCCTTGGGCCACAGGCCACGCGCCGTCCGCCCCAGGTACTCGGCGCCCGTAGCAGGGGGCGCCGCCGCCCACAGGGGCGAAGAAGCCGCGGACGCCGCACTGCAGGACCCCGATCGCGTCCAGCAGCCTTATCTGGTCCCTGGGGCCGGCCGTCTGGGCGCCGACCTGCGCGCAAGGCCCCTCGCTGGCGGTGGCCACCTCGAAGATGCCGCCGCCACGAGGAACCAACGGCCAACGCGGAGTGCCCAGCCACTCGGAGCGCCTCGCAGCCGAAGCCGAGCATCGGCATGCCTGGCAAGTGCGGCCGTCGGCGCCCAGCACGTGCGCTGGGGACAGCACCGCTGCAGCGCCAGCGGTTGGGGGCGCCCGGCGCGGCCCGCGGCCTCGCGCCGAGTCCATGGCGTCCAGCGTGGGCCGCGGCGGCCTCCACCATACCCCGCCGTGGCCACCGCCTCGACCCGATCAGCGCGAGCGAGCTCGCCAGCCGGGAGGCGCACCGCCAGCGGGCTCGTGCACCGCCCCGTTGCCCGTCACGGAGATGACGCGGCCAGGAGTGCCTTCCACACTGCGCACGAGGCCGAAGAACTCGCCACGATGGGCCGCCTGCCTCCGACCCGGCAGGGGGCCATGCGTGACCCTGGTGGTCAGGAAGGCGTCGTCCATGACGATGATACCGCCCGCGACACGGCGCAGCTCGGGACGCAGCGTTCTGGCCCAACCAGACCAGGGAACAAACGACACAACCCCACCTGCTGCCTCACGGGGCTTAGCGTATACCGGTAATCTGGCGTGGGTCTTGCGTGGCCTACGCTGCGGCCCACGCTGGGCCGCAGCGCAACCTGGAGGGCCGTAGGAGGGGTGGTGTCGTTTATCTTTTGGTCGACCATACCTCCACGCAGGAGGCTCTTGGGCGGCGTAACACGCAGCCGTGCCTAGCCTTAGGTCGGGCATGTCCCCCTACAGGCGGATTCTGAACGAAAAAAAATCAAAATACCCCCCAATGGGGAAACATATGCAAAACATCTTCCCCAGATTGCATTTGGTGTTTCTCCTATTCTGGAATCTTCCTCCTGTATGGGGGGACAGGCCCGACTTCGGCCCTGGCCCCTCTGCCTTTTTGCCCTTGCCCCCTCCGCCCCGCACCCCGCACCCCGCCCTTCGGGCCTGGGCCGTGGGAGACAGTGAGGAGGAGGAGGAGGAGGAGGAGAAGGAGGAGGAGGAGGAGGAGGGGGAGGAGGAGCAAGAGGGGGAAGAGGAGGAGGAGGAGGAGGAGGAGGAGAAGGAGGAGGAGGAGGAGGAGGAGGAGGATGAGGAGGAGGAGGAGGAGGAGCGAGAGGAGGAGGGGAGGGGGAGGGGGAGGAGGAGGAGGAGGAGGAGGAGGAGGAGGAGGAGAGGAAGGAGGAGAAGAGAGGGAGGAGGAGAGAGGAGGAGGAGGAGGAGGAGGAGGGGGAGGAGGAGCAAGGGGGGAAGAGGAGGAGGAGGAGGAGGAGGAGGAGGAGAAAGGAGGAGGAGAAGGAGGAGGGAGAGGAGGAGGAGGAGGTAGGAGGAGGAGGAGGAGGAGGAGGAGGAGGAGGAGGAGGAGGAGGAACAGGGTGAGGAACAGGGGAAGGAGGAGGAGGAGGAGGGAAGGAGGAGGAGGAGGAGAAGGAGGAGG